ATTTATTTGGGAAGAAGGGAGGCACGAGAGAGGTTTGAGGGAAGAAAAAGAAGGGGGAAATGATATAAAGTACACATTTATGAAATTAAAAATTAATTAAAAAATTGATACTGAGCCAGGCGTTGGGGGCACACGCGTTTAATCCCAGCACTCCAGAGGCAGAGGCAGGCTTATCTTTGTGAGTTCGAGGCCAGCCTGGTCTACAGAGCGAGTTCCAGGACAGCCTCCAAAACAATACAGAGAAACCCTGTCTTGAAAAACCAAAAAAAATTTTTTTGCATGAAAAAATATGAGATGGTTAATTTTGGATACCAATTGACTGGATTAAGGAATACTGCTGAGCGGTAGTGGTGCATGCCTTTAATCCCAGCACTTGGGAGTCAGAGGCAGGTGTATCTCTGTGAGTGCAAGGCTAGCTTGGTCTACTGATCAAGTTCCAGGACAGCCAGGGTTACATAGAGAAACCTTGTCTTGAAAAACCAACAAAACAAGACAAATCACATGACTGCTCTTGAGGCTATCTGAGGGTTTTTCCAGAGAAGACCGATGCAAGAGTAGACCAGTGGGGAGGATCCACCCTCAGTGTGGGTGATCTTTCTAGTGTCTTCTACAGTAAACCTTCCATCTTCAGCCTTCAGGTTCTGAGGCCTGAGCCATGCTGCTGGCATCTCAGGGTTTCTAGCTTTCAGGTAGTATGCGAGCCAGTTTTCATGATAGATTCCATTTCTAATATGGATGTCAATCATTTATCTATGTAATACTAATTTTATAGTCAGTGGTTGTTCTAGAAAGTGTAATCATCATTACTATTAAAGATAGGGTCTTGCTATGTAGCTCAGGCTACCCTGCACTATGCTTGATAGCTCAGCTGGCTTTGAGTTCAAATTTGAATTTGATCCTCTAGCCTTACCCAAACGCACTACCACATGCAATTTGAGAAAGATTTTTCTTTTCTTTGACAATGTCTCACTAGGCAGCCCTATCTGACCTGGAACTTTTTCTATAAACCAGGCTCCAATTTACAGCCTGCCTCTGACTCCCCAATGCTGGTATTAAAGGAGTGTACCACTACACCTGGCCAAGAAACAGGATTTTACTATGAGCATCGCTAACCAGTTTTGACATTTCTGAAATTTTATTTTTAAATTTAATGTTGAGACTGGGTCTCATTACGTAGCCCTGGCTGGCTTCCGAGTTAGAGATCTGCCTGCTTCTGCCTCTCAAATGCTGGGATCAATTCCATGCCCAGCAGGAACTGGTTTTGGATCTGATTTTATCTAAACTGCTGTGCCATCTAAGAGCACTGATAACACTGATTGGCTGCGTGATGACCTGACGCTCTGGACTGTTGGGGTCCCCCGAATTGAGGAGGGGTCCCCAAGCTGGATTCGTCACCCCAAGAATCAAGAGTCCACGTGCCAATTGATGCAACACGCCAGAGGCTTTAATTAGGCATCTGCAGATGGGCCTCCCGGTCAGCTTTTAGACCGATTGGCCCCAGGTTCAGTTACAATCAGCTTTTAAAGGCAAAAACCACAGCCTTTGGGAGGGGTCCTGGGAGGGGTCCCTATCTTGTGACGGGGTGGGCGGTTACGTGACTACTGACCAGGGGAAGTAGATGTCTTCCTGACCTACACGTTGTAAATTCCTCAAACCTTGGTATGAGTTAATCATCTCTCCCTAAGTAAATGGTGGTTATCATCTCCTTGTTTCCCACGAACCTTGTTTGCCCATCTCTGACGCCCTGGTCGGTTCGTCACAGGTGGTCAGCAGCCCAGAATTGGCCTTTTGTGGGTTTACAGCCCTTCGGCAATTAAGGTTGCTAACCCATACATTCCATTCTGTGGTCTTTCATGGACCTGACAGGCAAGGCGATGGCGGAGAGCAGAATAAATATGGGCTGCAGGGTGTGGAGGACGAAAAGCAGTGAGAGGTAATGAAGCCGAGGAGAGAACATCTCTGACCACCCTCCCTCCCTCCCCACCTCCCCCGAAGCTCCCCATTGTCACTGAGAACACCAAGGTTGACTTTCACATTTGGTCGCAGAATTTAGGTTCCTGCCCTGTTGTTTTTCTTTTTCTCCCCCCCCCCTTTTAAAACAAACAAGCCATTTTCAGAAGTTCTTAAAGGCAAAAATGAATTTCTGTGGATTTTGCTGGTCCCAGCTTTTAGGTTCCTTACAACGCTAACAGGACTGCATAGAGGCTTTTTCAGCATTACTGTATTGTCTCCAGCCACATGTGGCAAGATCATCATGAGAAATGGAGATGACATTTGGAAGCCATTAGACTTCTAGGTGATGCATCTAAGAAAGATTAATCACACGATAGAGACATATGTGCTGTCATTTTTCCTTTTTTTAATTGCTTAGATGGAATTTTATGCCAATGTTTTAACTTAATTGGGTGTTAGCTTGAGGAGTTTTGGGGGAGCTTGTTGTAATGGTTTTGCTGTAAATTGTGTCGGGCACTCTGCTGAAGTGTTGCTGAAAAGCGAGGTGCTGGTAACAGCTCAACAATCCGTGGCTGCTCATTCTTGCCGACTCCTCCCCCTCTGACGCAGGTTAGCACTGAAGGTGGTACGGAAGCCTGCATGCGTGTTCTACTCTCTCACTCCTTCCTTGCTCTTCAGCCTCCTTCCCTCCTCCTTCGCTCGCTCAGCCTCTTTTGTTCAGTACGTGTAACTTGAAGCTAATTTGTACTACTAGATACCTGACTGGAGCCACAGATTCAGACTCTGTATTGTTCTTACTGAAACACAGCATGGAATTAACATTAAATAAAACAAACTTAAATTAAAAATGCCAAATATACTACGCTTCCATCCTTTATACTTCTAAAATAAAATCTCTAGTCCAAACATAAAAAAAGTTTGCACTCAGTGACAGTGCTCGCCTAGCAAATATAATAAGACCCTAGACTGAATCATTAGCAGCCCCCACCCCTCACAAAAGGAACCGTAACTTTTTAATGATCTATTTTTATTTTATGTGCATTGGTGTTTTGCCTGCATGTATGTCTGTATGAGGTGTCAGACCCCCTCAAACTGGAATTACAGACGGTTGTGAACCACCATGTGGTGGCTAGAAATTGAACCAGGGTCCTCTGCAAAAGCAGCCAATGCTCTTAATCACTGAGCCTTCTCTCCAACCCTGGTCTGATGAAATCTATCCAATAAAATAGTTCAAAATTTGATAGTTATCAGGAAATTGGCAGGTGTGTACACTCAAACCTACATGCATATTTTCCAGAATGGCACAAATGTATTGCCATAATGCTAGCCAATCTCTTAGAGTTAGCTCAGAAAACAAATACTCTTTGGATCCCAAGAGAGCTGGTAAACAGATCTGTCAAATTCTTCACAAAAGGTCGACTAGCTAGGAAGGGTATGCTTCTTGCTTTTGCAAAGCCAGTGATCCCACTAATAGCAGCCAGCGCCACATAAATGAAAGAAAAATAAGGCACCAGTGAGCTGGTGTGCTTTTGCACTGCTGTCTTCTTTCTTTGTGTGGCATGGATACTCTTCCAGACTTGTGTCCCATATGCTTGCTTAGTTGTATTACATGTCATCACAGCTAAGAAAGAAAATAGAATTGGAGTTGGAAGGGTTAAGAGAATTCTCTGTGTGTGTGTGTTTAATGATAGATTTGAAGAGTTTGATGACAGAAGTTGTTACATCTGGCCTTTAAATCTGTGACCCTTTCTTTCACTATGAAATAATTGGGTAAGGATTGTCTACCAAAATCCCAAAGTAGCACACTTTTTTTTCCTCCTCCAAGTAGCATACTTTTAAAGAACTTTTCTTTAGGTACTCGGAAGAGCTACTGTTCAAAGGGCTTTTTTTTCTTCGTTATTGTTGCACACTGTGCCACACCCTGCAGAGCTAGTTAAAGCTTTCATCTCAGGGCTATGTGCAATTTTAGGTTTCTGTGGAAACATGGCATTTCGATTTTTCTTTTGGTCAGAAATTTACTTGCATTCTGAAATTTGCTGTTTGTTGGTTTATCAAATTACCTGATCAAAGCAACCTTTATCCCACATTATTTCTTTATTCAAATTCAGCCACCTAAACTGCTCTTGGATTGAAGCAGAATAGCAAGTGTGAGTCCACTATGGACAAATAGCAAGTTCCAGGTCTGCCTAGGCTACACAGGGAGACTGTTAGAAAAACAAGAGAAAAAAAATAAATTTAGCCAAGTATATTTAAGCATCAAGCATATTAAGGTTTATATACTCAAATATACTAAAGACCTTAAACATTATTCACCATCCCCTGGAATACTGTGGGTGTATCTCTAGGAGGAATGTATCCAGTTAAAAAAGTAAAAATCCGTTGTTTAATAAGACGGAAAGGAACCCCTAGCGTTGACTGATATTCATTGCAGTTGGTTTAAATTGTTTTATAAATTCACGCCAGTAGGTGTCAGTGTTGAGTGGAGGTTAAAATCATTTTTCTAAGCGGGCGTTTGAGTTAAAAAATTTTTTAAAGACTGCGATCGGGATATAATCATTTGTGAATAATTTCAGAAATAAAACCTTCAAGAAGAAAACAATGTAAAAAGAGACGGGGTCTCGCTATGTTGCCCAGGCTGGAGTGCAGTGGCTATTCACAGGCGCGATCCCACTACTGATCAGCACGGGAGTTTTGACCTGCTCCGTTTCCGACCTGGGCCGGTTCACCCCTCCTTAGGCAACCTGGTGGCCCCCCGCTCCCGGGAGGTCACCATATTGATGCCGAACTTAGTGCGGACACCCGATCGGCATAGCGCACTACAGCCCAGAACTCCTGGACTCAAGCGATCCTCCTGTCTCAGCCTCCCGAGTAGCTGGGACTACAGGCGTGCGCCACCGCGCCCGGCGATGGGCGAGGCGGCCGCGGAGATACTAGAGCTTCGGGCTGCCGTGACGTCAGCCACTGTGCCCGCCCCTTCGCCTTTAAAAATGTCACTCAAACCACCCTCCCCCGGACGACGTTGTCGCACTGCGCACGCGTCACGTTCCCGCGCTGTATTCTGGGAAAAGCGTGGCTCTCGGAAACTTGAAGAGCGCGTGCGCGCGCTTGCTCGTTCCTTTCTCCTCTTGTGCCGACTGAAGGCAAGATGGGTCACCAGCAGCTCTACTGGAGTCACCCGCGGAAGTTCGGCCAGGGCTCGCGCTCTTGGTGAGAAGGGGATCGCGGTTAGCGGGAAGGGGCCGCCGTGGGTGGCGGGGCTGCGGGAAGCCGCGGGCGGCGCGCCGGCCCGGGGTTGGGAGCCGCCGCCGCCATTGCGGGTTTGTGCTAGGTCGGGCGGGCCCGGGACGGGACGGGACGGGACGCGCTCTTCGGGGAGGGATGTTGGATTCCCCGCGGCCTGCATAAGTCAACGCCATCTCATGCTTGTTACCCATCCAGCCGCGTCTGCTCCAACCGCCACGGCCTGATCCGGAAATATGGGCTGAACATGTGCCGTCAGTGCTTCCGTCAGTACGCGAAGGACATAGGCTTCATTAAGGTACGCGCCTCCGACGCCGGCCTCCATGATGCGGGCGGGAGCTTCAGAGCGAGACCCACGGGGCTGAGTGAGGCGGGCTTCAGCGGTCAGAGTTCTAGAAAGCGCGGGATGAGTTGCTGCGTCTGGTCGAGCACAATGTTTTTAACCTTGTAGTAGACACTGCAGTTACTACATAGTAACCGAGTGTTTTCTACACGACTGCGTGTCTTAAATTTCTGCCGAGAACGTTTGAGCATAGGCTGAAAGCGCCTTCGATTTCCGGCCCGGTAGACTCGTGACTTGGGCAAGGTTTTGTCTTTTTTATCGGCTCTAAGGTCGTGATCACATTAATGCTACTTGAAACTTGGTTGATTTCCCCAAAAAGACACTTTTGGTCCAGAGCAGATTTGCTTGCTTCTTGTTATAAAATCAACTACTTTCTGTTTAATTGGACTAGTTTGGTTTTGCAAGTCTCCCGGTTTTTCCTCTAGCTCTAGTCCAGAAACTCATGAGATCTGTAGACTAGGCTGGTTTCGAACCTCTGCTAGGATTAAAGGCGTGTGCCACCACTCCTGGATTCAGGACAACTTTAAAAAAGCTTGTGTTTAATGGGCCTTCGTTATTTTACCTGTGCTCTCCAGTGCAGCAGGCACAGTTTTAAGCTCAGTTTTCCTGTGTTGACCAAATGATTACCGTAAGCCAGAGATGCAGCTTAGAGATTTGAGAGATTCGATGTGAAGGTGTCATAGAGTAGAGAATGGTTGCTGGCACCCTTAAAGCTGGTCCTAGTTTTTTTTCAGGCCAAGATGAACTGTAGCAGAGCTACTAAATAATATGGTTATTTTGTGTGGTATTGTGTTGGGAAACGATTTTTAGAGGGAACCAGTGAAAATGTTAGAATCATAATGTAACGTAATAAATTATGTGTGCTTTTTTGCAGTTGGACTAAGCAACCTTGAATGGATTATTCAAGACTGTCTACCCAGTGAAACAGATCATGCTAGTCTTTGTACATAAAGAATAAAAAAGTGAAGACCTTCAATTTGTGTGTTTTTTGTTGTTTGAGACAGTCTGTTCAAGCTAGCATCAAACTCTGAGATCCACCCACCTGCCCTGCTTCAATAACTGATTCCTTTTGGCAGGGACACAGGCATGCTCCACTGAGGTGTTGGGGATCCAACCCAAGGCTTCTTGCTTGTTAGGCAAATGCTTTACCAATTGATCTAAATCAATTTCCTGTGGCTAGAAAAGTTTGTTACAGAGGTAACCTTAAAATTGCCTTTTAAACGGATCTCTGTAAGTTCGAGGCCAGCCTGGTCTACAAGAGCTAGTTCCAGGACAGCCTCCAAAGCCACAGAGAAACCCTGTCTCGAAAAACCCCCCAAAAGTTGCCTTTTAAAAACACCATAGGGCTGGAGAGAGGGCTCTTCAGGGGATTTGGGTTTGATTCCCAGCACCTGTGGCTCAATCTGTAGCTCCAGTTCCAGGGAATCCCTTCATGGGCTCTGGACATGCATGTGGTTTGCAGACAAATGTTTGCTGCTCACTGTGGGCTTGCTCAGTAGAAGCCCTGATTATGTAAGTGATAGACCAGAAGGAAGTTCTCATAATGTTTATGGTCTTTGGGCTTGTGTGAGAATTAGATGATACAGTGTTAGCCTGGTGGTGCTGAACACCTTTTGATCTGAACACTTAGGAGACTGAGGTAGGTCAATTTCTAGGCGGGCCAGGGCTACACAGAAACCCGGGGAGAGTGCCAACAAAGTTCCCCCATCCCCACTACCACAAATTATGCAGTTTAGTTCCCCACTTTTGGGGAACACACATCCAGAGTGTAATGGATAAGCCTTGCCCTGGGTAAACCACCTTCGTGATCATAGTATCTCCCCTGTCAGGATTCTTAGGCTATTCCGGGTTTAGGGTTTAGCAAAGCCGGCTGAAGGTGGATCTAAGGGTGTGGTGTGTGCTAGTAATCCTAGTATTCAGGGTAGAGGCTGGAGGATCAAGAATTGAAGGCTTTGCCTTTAGAAGTTCAGGCCAGCCTGGGCCAAGTGTGGGATTTGTTTTTTGTTTTTTTTGGTTTTTCGAGACAGGGTTTCTCTATTGTTTTGGAGACTGTCCTGGAACTTGCTCTGTAGACCAGGCTGGCCTGGAACTCACAGAGATCTGCCTGCCTCTGCCTCCTGAGTGCTGGGATTAGGGATTTGTTTTAAGTGTAGAGAATTAATCTTCATAGTAATCCACCTTGGTCTTTAGAGCTACTATTGTAGTTGTGATCTAGGTGTGATGGTGCATGCCTGTAAACTCATTATTTGGTAGATGGAGGTAGGATCAACCGTTCAAGGACACCTTAGGCTAAGTAGTGAGTTGGAGGTCAGGCTCATCTGTACAAAATCCAAACCATGCCTCAGTTGCTGTCAAGCAATGTCTAGGAAAGCTGTATTTCAGTGGTTTGGCACTGGGGTAAGCTTCATGTTGCTTTTTGAGGATGGACGAGAAGTTGTCATTTGAGCAAATACACAGAAAATCTGGGAGCTGAAGATGAGGGAAGTTTAACATGCTTTAGTGTGAGAAGAATCTGACTGGATCATGAGTCCCTTGCATGAGCTGAGGTCTGTGGCAGCCTGATGGCCCTGTGTAAAGTCCGTAATACATTTGCAGTGTCTTAGGGAGCACAAGAGGGAAACAGTAGCCAGTCCCAGCCGTGTATGTGGTACTGGAGGGAAGCTTGCTGTGGAAAGGTGGCTTGACTCCTCTACCAGCGTTGAATAGGACTCAATACAGATGGTTTAAAATTTGCTCTGTGCTAGACTGTATGTGAAGGGTTAGAGTCCCTTTCAGTAAGTATGATCCTCAGTACATATCTGAGGAGACTAATGCTTAGACATAAGGTAACATCCCCAAGAGACAAATCATGGGGTAATTACCCCAAGGCAATCTTCCCAAAAGAGACAAAGCTAGAACTTGGGTCTGTCTGACATGCTTGCTTAAGCTCTTAACGGTCACAGTGCTGTAAAAGAACTGCCTCTTATCTCCAGATGGCATTTATCACATGTCCTTGTGTCTTTACAGCAGAACCGCACAAGAAGATGTCTTGCATATTAAGGGGGTCCCTAAATAAACTTTGGTGGCAATATAGCCTAGCTACATAGCTACTGGATCACATTGGAAGATACTTTCAGGTTGGGTTCCTGCTTTTGTCTGTTTTGTCTTTTGAAACAATGCTGCATGGCTTAAACTATTTCTCAACATTCTGGAGACTGAGAAGTTAAGATCAAGGCACTAATGAGGGATATGCCCTGGGCCACAGATAGTGCCTTCCTAAATGTCCTCACATGTGGATGGGACGAGTGAGTGTCTTTGGATTTATTATTAAAGATACTGATGGTGAGATTTACTCATCTTCCAAAGACCTTACCTGAAATCATCACCTTGGGGACCAGAGTTTCAACATGAGTTTTGGGGTGACTTCTACAGCTGTGAGGACTGATACCCATTTTACGAATGTAGTTGGCAGCAGTAGTTTGAAAACCACTCTTGCCACTAAACTATGAATGCCTATGAGCAGGGGAAAACTTTAGTAAATATTTGTAGTCTAGCAAGCAGAAATAATGAATGAAAAATAGGAAACCGTGTATGTAATACGATTTCATTGTTACAGAAAAGCACAGGAAAACATTCCAGTATGTTATCAGTGTTTGTCTGTGTGTGATAAATGTAGGTGCAGTATCAGATTAAGACTCCATTAGGCGCCGGGCGGTGGTGGCGCACGCCTTTAATCCCAGCACTCGGGAGGCAGAGGCAGGCGGATCTCTGTGAGTTCGAGGCCAGCCTGGTCTACAGAGCGAATTCCAGGACAGCCTCCAAAGCCACAGAGAAACCCTGTCTTGAAAAAAAACCAAAAAAAAAAAAAAAAAGACTCCATTAAGCCTGGGGTATCCAATGACTGCCAGCTGTAGTAAGTATCCTTGATATCAGTGTCTTTAGGCTTTTTATCCTTAAGCCAGCTCATTATTATAATATGATTATTATTGGAAATAGATTCTTTTCTCATACAATATATCCTGATTACACTTCCCCTTTGCTCCACTCCTCTGAGTTTCTCTCCATCTACCCTCCCCTCCAGATCTACTTCCTTCCTGTCTCTCATTAGAAAAGAACATGCTTCAGCTGGGCAGTGCTGGAGCATGCCTTTAATTCCAGCGCTTGGGAGGCAGAGGTAGGCAGATCTCTGAGGTCTGCTCTACAGAGCTAGTCCCAAGAAAGGCTCCACAGATACAGAGAAACCCTGTCTCGAAAAAAGAAGAGGCTTCTAAGAGATAAAAACTAAACATGACAAAATAAAATATAAGATGAAGTAAAAACTTACATTGAAGTTGGACATGGCAAGCCAACAGGAGGAAAAGAGTCCCAAGAGCAGGCACAAGAGAGCCGCTCATTCTCACAGTCAGGCATCCCATAAAATGCTAAGCTGATAGCTATGATATACAGCAGAGGACCTGTGTTTGCTTCGTCAGTCTACAGCAGCTCATAAGTGCTTCGTTTAATTGATTCAGAAGGCCATGTTCTGGTGTCCTCCATCCCCTGTGACTCTTAGAATCTTTCTGCCTTCTCGTCCTTGGGATTTCCCGAGCTCTGAGGGGGAGGGATTTGATGGAGACCTCCAACTTTAACTCTATCCACGTAATGTGTAAGTCAGCTCATTCTAACCTTAGAGTGCTCTGACAGTGACTTCTTTCTAGTGTCCTTCTGACTTCCTTTGCTAATTTCATTTGCCACCCAAATTCTATGTGATCCTGTTCAAAACAAGTTTAACCTCTACAACACAGGATCAAATGGTCAAATACTTAGGCCCAAGGGCTCTAGAATTTTCTCATTTCCAGGATGTCTATTGCTGGTTTTGAAAAATTATTTAACTTTAAAAATTATTATTATTATTATTTTTTGGTTTTTTTTTGAGACAGGGTTTCTCTGTGGCTTTGGAGGCTGTCCTGGAACTCGCTTGGTAGTCCAGGCTGGTCTCGAACTCACAGAGTGCTGGGATTAAAGGCGTGCACCACCAATGCCCGGCCAGAGTCATTTTTCAGTCCTTCCCTTAAGATCAGTTGTTCTCAAACTGTTGCAGGGATGTCTGTACAAAGGTAAGAAACAATGAAGTGCGTGAACGATAAAGAAATACGGTATGTGATGATTCTCACCTGTCTATATCATATCTAGAATTTCCTGGGAGACAAGCCTCTGGGCAAGCCTAGGGGCTTGTCTTGACTAGGTTAAGTGAGTGGCACCACCTACTGTGGGTGTCACCAGTCCCTTGGATGGAATCCTGGACTGCATGAAAAGGAGAAATTGAACTTCCTGACTTTGGGTGTAATGTGATTGACTGTTTCAAGCCCCGGTTGCCTTGACTTTCCCACTACAGAGGACTGTACCCTCAATCTGAAATAAGCCTTTTCTCCCTTAGCTGCTTTGATCTGGGTGTTTTCTTATAGCAACAGGAAAAAGTAATTAAGACATCATGTTACAGGCCTTCACAATGTCTGCCAGTGCGCCACCAACGCCCGCCTAAAAATTATTTTTACATTATGTGTATATGTGTGTTTGTGTGAGGTTATTGTGCATGTGTGGTTACCCACGGAAGCCAGGGCCTATAGACCTTGCTACAAATGAAGTTAGAGGCAACTGTTTGTGAGGTGCCCAATGTGGGTGTAGGGAACTGAACTCAGGTCTTTTGCAAGAAGGATAAATGCTCTTAACCACTGAACCATCTCCAGCATTCTCTATTCTCTCTCTCTCTCTCTCTCTCTCTCTCTCTCTCTCTCTCTCTCTCTCTCTCTCTCTCTCTCTCTGTCTGTCTCTCTCTCTCTCTCTTTCAATAAAGCTTTATTTATTTATAAATAGGTGTATGTGTGTGTTGGGGGAAGTTATGCGTTTCTGAGTTTAGGTGTCCACAGAGGCAGGAAGAGTATATAGGATTCCCCAAAACTGGAGTCACAGGCTGGTGTAAGCCTCCATGTGGGTACTAGGAACAGAACTCTAGTCCTCTGAGAGAGCAGTAAGCACTCTTAATTGCTAAACCATCTCTCCAATCCCAACTGCTGGTATTTCAGTTGTCCTTTCACTGTGGGATCTTATTTCTCCTTCATCCAGAGCCTGATAATAGTACCTGACAGATACATATTTAAAATTATTATTTTTTTTATTTGTGTGTGTGTGTGTGTGTGTGTGTGTGTGTAGACAAGGTCTGGCCCTGGCTGGCCTGGAATTCCTTACACAGACCTGGCTGGCCTCGAACTCACTGAGATCCTCTTGCCTCCTCCTGAGTATTGGGTTAAAGGTGTGTGCCACCCCACACTGCTAATGAATTTTTTAAAGTTATTTTGTAGGGGAAAATGTAACAGTACATGGGATAAGGATATTGTTGGCTACTTATTGTGAGAAATTACTTAAAAGAGAAACCAAAAACCCAGGTTAGTGTCTGTAGCCTTTGAGACCCGACCGGAACCCCGAAAGAGAGTGAGTCCCTTTCCTCTCGGCTCTTTATTCCACACACCTTCTACGGGCGTGGTCAGCGCTCCAGGTACCTAAGATCTCTCCCTACTTTGTTTGTAGGGCTGTAGAGATGACTCAGACCTAAAAGTACTTGCTGCTCTTTCACAGAATGCAAGTTGTTTCCTCAGCACCCACAACACACAGAGACACATGACTAGGAATACAAGCAAATCCTTTAGAGTTATTTGTGCTGGTTGCAGATGACTGGAGTATTTTAAAACTCTAGGAAGTGACAAGCTTAATCCGGGTGGGTTAATTTTTATGTAGTCTTGAATTTAAGGTGATTTGTTGTGGAAGCACAGCTTAAAATAAGCATTGGAGGAGGCAGAGGCAGGAGGATCTTTGTGAGTTT